GGACGGTAACTCGTACAGTCAGCAGGGCTGCCTTTCTTCTTCCAAATCGGAATCGTTGTGCTCTGTTGCCAGCTCTCAGGCACCTTTCTCTCTGCTACGATCTGGTTGAAAAACGTGGTCAACCATTCAGCAGGACACCAGCATTTCGACTTCCATATGTCGGCCGCCAGATCATCGGGTCCTGTAGCTTTTCCCGACTTCATCTTCTTCAGAGCCATTTCCGTTTCCTCCACGGTTATTCTCTGCACAGGGCCTTGCACAGGTGGAACATAAGGGACTGCTGGATGAGCAAACTCTTCAGCTGAGATGTTCTCGAAAGTAATCGTGCCATCGCTTCACTGCTTTTTTGCGGTCCGTTAGGAGGTGACCATTTTCGTCGTTGATGCCGAAAAACTTCTCGATATCCTCGGACTGGCGATGACGGGCTTTGGCGAGGCGATAAATATAGCGTTCACCATCGCGCGTCTCGAGCTTCTCGCTGACATCAGCAAAGTGTGCAGCTTTTGCGGCAGCAACGGCCTTCTTTGTCGCACTCTTAGCTGCCTGATACCTTCGCCAGTTGTCGACAGTCTTATCGCCAAGAAATACGTGGTAAAGCCTCTTCTTCTCACGTACTTTTTCTTTCACATCGTCCGTCCATAGCCACGATTGCTTGTCGATCTTCCGTCGCCCAGGTTTTGTTGTGCCGAGTTCGGAACGGGCAGAACGGATTATTCGCCTCGGCAGCACTTTTCCAAGTTTCATCAACAGTAGTGACTGCCGGCAACTGAATGTTGGATATCACGACCGTCTCCTTCTCTTTCAAACGCCACCACTTGATTCTCGCTGGTCCACACCGCTCGATGTGTTTCATTTTCGGAGAAGCGATCTTCAGCGTGCAAATCAGCGGTCGATGTTGCGTGGTGACAGTCTCATACGGCACCGCCTTTGCGTCTGTTACAAGCCCTCGATCGCGTTGCCTGACGAGGACAAAGTCGATTTGCGTTCTGGTAGTACCGCTGTAGAATGTGATCAGGTGGGAATCACGTTTCCGGAAATTCGTATTCACGATGGTGAGATCATGAGAATTCGCGTACTCAAGAATTCGTTCGCCATCGGTGTTACGTGACCCATATCCAAATCCACCATGACAGTTGTACCCATCTTTCGCATCGCCGACGTGACCGTTAAGGTCACCTGCAACGATGACAGCCTCTTCTGATGGTACCTCTGCGGTTTTTTCATCCAGCAGGGTCCAGAACTCATCTTTAGCTCGCTCAGAGCAGCCAGTCTGCGGAGCATATGCAGAGAAGAAGTGGTATCGCTTACGTTCGATGACGACAACAAGCTTCATTAGACGGTCGTCAAAGCGATCAACGCTTACGATCGAGTCACGGAAGCGGTCAGAAACAACAACTCCGACCCCACTGGTGGTTCTAGGACCGCCACAGAGAACGGCTTTGAAGCCTCGTCCAATATCTCTCGATCTGCAGCAGGACCACCTCGTTTCCTGCACGGCACAGAAATCAATCCTTCGGCGCTCTAGAGCTTCTGCTAACTCGTACGAGCGGTCCCGTTAACGTGCCAACATTTAACGTCGCAACGCGAATCTTCCGTGCGTTGCAGGACTTGTGGACTAGCTTAGTTGCCCCCCGACGCCGTCCTTGCGTCGGAGACCCTCGCATACTTTTCACACTCGCCGGGCTTTGCGAGTGCGCGTCGGCTCCCGCGGACGCCGTAGCATTATATCGGAAATCATATGACGTCATTAACCATGAAGATGTGACGTGGATATTCGTAGACCGGCCTGTCACGGGGGCCTGTCGCCTGCATTCGAATGTCCGCGATCAGCTCAGCCCACAAAAGTGAGCAGTTCCCAGTGGCACCACTTGGAGGAGCGGACCAACCACCTTAAAGCAAGGATTTACGATGAGAAGCACCAGCATATCAATATTACCAGGTAGAGATGGTGAGTAGTACCAGAAAGAAAGCGAAACCACGAAAAACGGCCCAGAACCGGAGAAATGGGACCCCTTCCTTGTCCGTTGATTTGAGCATTGATGGGACTCTCATCGCTTTGCCCTCTTCAACCCTACGCTCTCTCAGCTATCTAATCACTCGCCACCTATTGTACTACGGCGAGTGATCAGACGATCGGTGGGCGGAGATCGCCGAACTCGCCAACTTTGAGCCATGCTAGATCTCAGAGGTCAAATCTTTCGATGCCGATTGCGTGTCTGTCCGCACCCTCAAGAGATTCACCGCTCTCCCCACTAGGCGATTTCTCCCTTCTTCGACCTTCGTTCTTTCCGTGCAATCCTCCTTTAAAGAATTCTTAATCTACATAAAAGAAACATGACAGCCTTCTACACCGACGACATCAAAAGACTTCCACGGAAACATGGTTCACGGTACGAGCTCAGCGAGGTTGTCGAGGTACCATAAACCATTACGACGTCCCTGAAACGCTGCTCGAAAGCGGTTTTGCACAGTCACAGCTAATGTGTCTGAAAATCTATTCAGCATTCAATCCAATGAAGAAGTTATGAAGCAGCTTCAGGCCGGAGCGACCACGACAGATGACGTTGTATTCTGAAGACGGTGGGGACAGTGAAGAAGACCTGCTTCTGTTTACGGGGGAACACCTTAAGGAATATTTCACCGTAAAACTTTCATTAACATAGGCACCCTGTGCAACGAAAATGTTCGATGATGTGCGCCATGGCAAAGTGTCTCTTTTTTTTGGCCACCCCTGTAGACACTGAAGTTTCCACAATATTCCTAGGTCTAAAAAGGGCACGTGCATGGATCATAAAACTGCTAATAATTTTTGTTTCTGAGCAGCTCTCATAATGAAAAAAAAATGTGAAAATCATGTGATTTCTGCTTTGCATTTTCTTGCCCTTTTACAAGTCTGAACTCTTATACTGAATAAAACCCATGAGCTACTCTGCCCATGAGCTACTATTCTAAGCGCGTGCTACTATTCTAAGTAAGTTCTAAGGTATTCTAAGTAAATTGAAGTGCTGTGGAGCATATTACAAAAAGGTTCCATTTTCCGAAAATGCTTTCTGCCTTATTTCTGGCAATCTCATCGCCTCAGAAAATCTTTATACACTTTAAATGCTCACTTCCACAAACACAAGAGAAATGGCATCTTGGAAGGAACGTTCTATGTTCTAAACTACCTTCCTGGTGAGGTCTGGGGTAGCCTCACTATTTTTCTTTTTTTATTCTTGACCTCAGTTTTTTTGGAAGTTTTTTGTGGCAATGAATACACAATAGATACTAATTTTCGAGATAAGCAACAAAGCTGCTAACGCTTATAATGTTGCGGTAGTGCTTTTGATCCACGATTGACCCCCCATCACCACTGAGGTGGCGTTCAGTAGCGCGCCACACAGATTGGAGATTTTCAGAGAGCGAATTTCCTCAGTAAGGAACATTCGTGTGTACTTTTCAGTGAAAGAACTAATGTTAGGTAGGTCTGCAATTTGAAACGTCTGTCATTCTACATCCGGTGATTTCTAGCGAAATGGAGTCAAACCTGTAAGCAATGCCAAAGAGAACATCATCTATTACTTTTGTGTTCCTGTGTTTCGCTGGAGCAACATCAAACATGTGTGCCGAAGTGTACGATATTATATTCCACCCAATACATGGTTTTTGCTACACTCTTTTTCACTTGGGCAATTCTCTCGAACGTTGAAAGATTTTTTCAGTGTTTTCACATCATTGTGACCGGATAATCAAAGGGATTAGGTGCAAAATCTGCACCTGAATTTCCAGTCACTTTTGAGCGAGGAGCGATAATGCACAACCGCTTTGTCGAGCACTTTCGACCTCTACTATATTATTGAGTGGTCGAGGCAACCTTGGGATCTGTCTTCGGTGCTCAAGAGTGTAAGAAGAACTGGAAGTATTATTGAAGGTAATCAGCGACTGGCACGTTGATTAAGTCTATCTCAATATTGCGTCGTGGATGCTTGCCGACAGGCGAATGAAAGAACAAAACGCGCGAGAGAGCACGCATGTATGTTCATCAATCGCAGCGGCTGGGGAGCGTTGCAAAGGGGGTGGTTGCGGCCCTTAAAAATTAGCGCCTTAATCGTGCAACTTGTGTGGCAAAGCTGGCATTATCCATATACAGACAGGTGGGGGGGAAAAAGAGTGCACTTTGATCAGGCGATATATCGACCTTTTCGTCGCAAAGGATGCCGCTGTTATTGGAGTTATACAGCAAATTATTCCTTAGATGTCCCGCCCATCTTCGCTGCTTTCACCGTCTCCAGAATATGACGTCATCTGTCATCACGGTCGAGCTCAAGGAGGCCTACCATAATCGCTCCATTCTGAAGCTGCTACATAATTTCTTCAATCGGATAACTGGTGAATGGCTTCTTAGGGACACTAGCTCTGACTATGCAACATGGCTTTGACCAGCGTTTCAGAGACGTTGTAATCGTCTATGGTTTCTCGACGACCTCGTTGAGCTCGTACCGCGGACCATGTTTCCGTGGGAAAATCTTCTGATGCCGTCGTTGTAGAAAGCCCTATGTATATTTTGAATAGGAAAGAATGATGTTTAATTCATCAACTAGATTCGGTTGTGGTTTATGGAAAGTGTGATTATCTGTTTATAAATGTCGCGCGAAGAAATGATCTTTTTTGATGCCCCCCCTCCCCTGTAGAATTGTATAGGTAAGAGACTCGCCATTTCCTCTAGTGGTATCCTTCCTACTAGTTGGACTAATCCCGGAATTTGCCTTCGATTGACATACAGAGCGTAAATTATATGGGGAAATGCGAGTAGGACCGTTTTAGCCCTTTTCCGGAGAGCTGAATTTGTACGGAATTCATTACAACTAACTGCGCGTTGTTGTGCTTAAAGAGATGATGTGTGTTATGTGTGTGACAACCACTGTTAACGAAGTGTCACAGCTGCGAAAATTTATTTCCATGTCCATTCATTCAAGACGGATTTTAACCTCTAGAAGGGACGAGCTTACACTTTCTTATCGTTAACATGAAATTAAGCGCGTCCATGTCGTCAATCCAAGGTTGCTTTGTTCCTTTGTTGTCTTATCAGTTATCACCTGATACTTGAAGTAGTGAGATCTGACTTTTCCCGTCTGTAATATACATCATATAAAATAATTGTAGCAAACGGATTTCATTTCGCAAAAAAAAATCCAGTAAGAGCCAAGAGTGACTTTGGGGCACAAAACGTGCCAGATGCACGCACCTCATCCTTTATGAGAACCATCACAATAGTTTCGTGAATTTCACTGGTTGCGTCATACGCCAGCACAGAATACATAACGCAAGTATCGTCTTTGTCCTGCAAACTGCTCGTGTTCTTCTGATAATTTATGTGAGACCAGCTCGAAGGGGAAGGCACTCCCTGTTGCTCATCCGTAGTATAAAGAGCTTTAAATTAATAGGTAGATAACAGGTAGACGTTATTTTCAAATGAATTTATGTTAGCGACCGTCACATGCAGTCAGTCTGGCTCACAATTTTTAGGTCAATTGTGGCTATGAACGGTTCGGCTGGAGCCTCCACCTTGTGCGCATAATAGCTGCACGATGTCATTTATTCATGGGTCTTGACCAACATGCGAAACCTGGTGAGACGTCTAGCGCGCTTTCACATTAACGTCCTCAGTCCAGAACTTAAATGAGTCGATTACCTTGTATGAAAATTCTATTGTTTCATCAGAACTGGAGAGCAAATGGAGTAGGTTCCGAACTTGAGCTTCACCGGTTGAATTTTCACATTCTCTACTTTTCACAGATGTAGATGAATACAGTTTGGAGCAGTTACGATATTTTTCCAGCTTGCCTTTCACTTAGGAGTTCTTTCGCACTGATAAATGCTGTCTATCCATTGGACCCTCAGATAGTGATTATAGTAACTAGTTCTGTGCCCAAGACTAAGCGCGCACCCAGAATAGCCCAGAACCATAACAAGCTGTCATGACTGAGATGAGGGAGAGTCGATATGTGAGACACGGCTTTGGAATGATAATAGTTCCCTTATTCATGGGCTTTTATAGCGAACGGCATTCAATTTTGAGCAATCAGTGTGCGCACTTTATCTGAGTAACTATTCACTGACAAACGCGAAATTAATCTAGCCGTTTCGAAACCCACACACTGCCTGGCAATGTTGTCTTCCATCGAGACGCACACACGAAGTGCAATTGCTACCGTGATGAATATTGTACAGGCTCGTGGAGCGTATGCGATAAGAGAAATTCATAAGTCACCTTCATATTTCTTCTTTTGAAAATTTCTTGTGGCTGTGGCTATTTCAACGCAAATCTTTGCTCTACTCATTCCATCAAACCTGGTTACACTGACCGTATGCACAAGCCGCAGTTCTGATGGGAATACAGTGACCGTGCAAGTGTAATAGTATTCGTTTTCACTTTTTTAAACGTAATTTCCTCAAAACTCAAGCTTTCGCAGTAAAACTTCGACAGCAGTTGACACACACAGGTAGTCATATTATAGCAGCGTATCGGTGCGATAGCCTCCTTTCAAGGGGAAATGGAGCTTCATTTTCGAGTATTGTCCGCGGGCACCCAATTTCATTGTTGATAAACGATGAGTTTCCATGTTGAGAGCACGTGTGTTTTTGATGTTTTGTGTCAGTTTCATATGCCTACACAGTACTCAGAACATTCCAAGACATTAGGGAATTCATAGCTTGTGGCAGGACCAGGTGACGCCATCTTTCGGAGGTTCTACGAAGGCTTAACATCCCAGCAGATTTTTGAAGTTCAAGGAGCCCCAGTGGACGACTTGGAAGAAATTCAAGAGCATTGAACCTGCCAAAGTCAAAAAGCGCCCAGAAGTAGCAAAAATGACCTCTTCTCTCGCCAATAGAATCATTGTGCGACTTGTAAGGAGTGGCTCGCATCACGCTGCACCCGAAATTCACCGCGGATTCTCAACGCCAGACGGTCTAAATCCGTCCGAAGACAACGTGCGACGTTGTCTGAGAGATGCTGGGCACTTCTGACGTAGCTCAGTAAGAAACCGCTGATTCCCCCTCAAGAGTGGCAGAGCGCATCTCAATTAGGCTCATGCCCACAAGAAACGGACTATTAAGGAGTGACAAAAAGCCATCTAGAGCAACGAATCGAAGTTTTTGCTGTTTAGCACGAAAGAAGTCAAGTTTTTGCGACTTCCCGTTGGTACCAGATATCATCCGAGGTTCCATGTGCTGACGTGACGAATGCAGGGGGTGCGGTGATACTGCATGGCAGCTTCTGTGGCATAGGGGTTGATCACCTTCATCGGACCGAGGCTGAAATGGATTCCAAAACGCGCCTCAACATATGGATGACTGCTATCTGGCCGCATGCTCGCAGTGTCGCCCGTAGTGTTTCATTTTCCGACCCCAAGCGCAAAATCAAAGCCGCTCTCGCAATGGTTCCGCAACAACAATGTTCCTCCACTGCCATGCCATCGCAGTCCCCATACTTGAATCAGAGCAAAAATCTGTAGGATGATTTTCGGAGTCAAGCTGAAGGCCCAAAAGCTCACAACGAGTTCGAAAAGTCCGTCCCACTGAAGATCGCGTAGGGGAACCTCTACCAAGAAAAAACCCAATTCCGTGCTTCGCCGGTGTCAAGCCGTCGTAGATGAAAACGGTTCTGCGACAAAGTGCTGATGTTGTAGTTGTTACGTCTGTTATTATATAAGTCATTTTGTTATTATTTTTGAATTTTAGATAGATTGAATTTCGAACAAGTAATATGGTATTGGACCGAAAAAAATTAAAAATTTCTAAATTAGTATAGAAGCCACCTAGACAACTGAAGATTTGCTTCCTTATCAGGTAGAGTGATGTGTTCTCACCTACAAAAAATCGGAACAAAAGCTTGAGTTTTGAGGGAGTTACGTTTAAAAAAGTGAATGTATCTCCTCGGTCGTATGCAACAAGCTCCGACGCCCGCGAAGGGACATATCCCCTCAGTCGTATGCAACAAGCCCCGCAGCGAGGGGATATATCCCCTTCGTCGTATGCAACAAGCCCCGCAGCACTGAGGGGATATATCCCCTCGGCCGTATGCAACAAGCCCCGCTGCTGGCGAGGGGATATATCCCCTCGGTCGTATGCAACAAGCCCCGCTGCTGGCGAGGGATATATATCCCTCGGTCGTGCAACAAGCCCGCTGCACTGAGGGAATGTACTCCCGGCTTGTTACCCCACAATACGACTTGAGGGGGACGAATCCCCTTACTCTCGACTAGGGGGATTCATCCCCCGGCTTCGGTCAGTTGGACTTTCGACGCGTTAGCGTCGTGGTCGAGCTGACCTCGGGATGTCGGTGATGAAGTTCCCATACGGAGCAAACCCTGCCAGTTAGGATTGTCCTTTTTCTTCTTCTTTGTGACGCTCACTTATAGGATAATTCCAACTCAACGTTTATTATTTTGGCGCACTTTGATTTTGCAATATTCTCGCTTCGAAAAAAGAAAACGGCTTCTGTAGAAGAAAACCCTCAGTGCATTCGCTCATAATCAGCACCTCATAGCATTTCGTGGCATAGACGCATGTCTCTCTCTCGAGAGCTCCCTCGTGGTTCCTTCGAAGGTCGACGGACTACTTGAACCCAGCCCTTCAAACCCTCTGCGCGCTCTCTCGCGGGTCCCTCCCCCTCTCTAAGGCTTAAGTATAGGATATTGATTTCTTATGTCTTCTGCATCGTGGACTTAAAGGCAAAAGTCAGGCTCGTGTTTCGGCATTATGGCACCTGATATTGAGTTTAGAGATGGGAGGTGGAACGATAGTGAAGAAAAAACGAAAAAAAAACTGTCGACAACACCTAAATAGAAACCCATTCCTTCTAGCAGTGAAGGAGATTTGCTCGGGGGAGAGTCACGTCCAAACGAGTTTTCTGGATATGCCAGCCGTTCCATCGGTTGATACGGCAATCAACTCAGCTGATCTCACACGTTAGGCCAGCCACGCACCACATCCCATGGTGGGCGGCCGGAGCGCCTCCAGGCGGCGCGAGCGCTTAATGCATGCCCTGGGGCGTTATTACGGCGCCTTTTGAGATTCTGAGCATGGCAACGTCCCTGTGGGTGCGTAGCCATGCACATAGACGACTAAAGTGATTGGTTTGGTCCACTGAGCCTGACTCGTGGCTTTAAAGGACGAATTCACGCTGGAAAGGCAACCCATTTCAAATTAACCTAGGGATGGTGAGTGGTACACGAAAGAAGGAAGAACCATGAGAAACGGCCCAGAACCCGAGAAATGGGACCCCTTCCTTGCCCGTTGATTTGAGCATTGATGCGACTCTCATCGCTGTGCCCTCTTCAACACTACGCTCTCTCAGCTATCTAATCACTCGCCAGTGTGACTGTGCGAGGATCAGCTGGTCGGTAGGCGGAGATAACCGGACCACGGGCATAATAGGTCGCCGAGGTCAAATTTTTCGATGCAAATTGCGCATTAGTTCGCACCCTCAGGAGGTCCGTGGGTCCCTCAACTAGGTAAATTACTTCTTCCTCGACCTCCATTGTAATCGTGAATTCCTCCTTTAAAGGCATTAACACAGGTGAATTTTGTGAAAAATTCGGTTGCTGAGATTTGATAAATATTATAAAAAAAAGAAGCGAATCAAATCGTTAAGACTGAACTATCAGGTGCAAATGGGAATACAATGTTATTACGAAATGAGAAGCTCGACGTGTGAGCTAAGCGTCGAATGTCAGACTACTGAAGCAGGGGAATGAATGCCGCTAGTGAAGAGTAGGGGATTCGTCCTCGCATATGACAAGCCGAGGGATATATCCCTAAAGTGAGCGGGTTGTTGATACGGCGGAGATTATAGCCTCGCCAGCAGCGGGCTTGTTGCCTACGGCGGACGGGATATACGCCACCGGGCTTGTTGATAGACCGAGGGATATATCCTTATGACTTCAGGGCTTGTTGCATAAGCCCGTGATTGTATACTTGTGTGGGTGTTGATAATATAATTGAGGGAGGGTGTCCCGCAAAAAAGGGAGAATCATCCAATTTCGACGCCAAATAAACTTAGAGAAACAAATACAATGCCTCCCTCAGAAGAGCGGATTCTAATCTACATAAAAGTCACATGACAGCCTTCTACACCGACGACATCAAAAGACTTCCACGGAAACATGGTTCACGGTACGAGCTCAGCGAGGTCGTCGAGGTACCATAAACCATTACGACGTCCCTGAAACGCTGCTCGAAAGCGGTTTTGCACAGTCACAGCTAATGTGTCTAAAAATCCATTCAACAGTCAATCCAATGAAGAAGTTATGAAGCAGCTTCAGGAGCGACTACGATAAGCTCGTTGGCTGATGTGGCGGCCGAGTGACTTGTATTTCTGAAGCCGGGGGGCTGGAGGAGCCTCTTTTGCTTCTGGGCGGACAGCTAGAAATTATTTGCTGTACACTTATTAAAGTCGCTCCTTTGGGACGAAAGTCGATGATGTTCGATCGCATAAGTATTTTTTGCCACCCCTGTATACTGAAGCCTGTGAACATAAAAAAAAAAAGAAGAAAATATGGGAAAATTCGCTTTCTTACAAGCTCTTTGAG